AGGTCCCTCTGGATGGCATCCCATCCCTCTGGCGTGTCGACCGCACCACTCAGCTTGGTGTCATCTGCAAACTTGCTGAGGGTGCACTCGATCCCACTGTCTATGTCATTGATGAAGATGTTAAACAGTACCGGTCACAATACGGACCCCTGCGGGACACCACTCATCACCAGTCTCCATCTGGACATTGAGCCATTGACCACTACCCTCTGGATGCGACCATCTAACCAATTCCTCACCCAGCGGACAGTCCACCCATCAAATCCATACCTCTCCAGCTTAGAGAGAAGGATGTTGTGGGGGATGGTGTCAGAGGCCTTACAGAGGTCCAGATGGACGACATCTGTAGCTCTCCCCTTGTCCACTGATGTAGTCACTCCATCATAGAAGGCCACTAGGTTGGTCAGGCAGGACTTGCCCTTGGTGACGCCATGCTGGCTGTCTCGAATCACCTCCCTTGTCCTCCATGTGCCTTATAAGCATAGCTTCCAGGAGGATCTGGTCCATGATCTTCCCAGGCACAGAGGTGAGATACTTTAATGTACCTTAATAAAAGAGCAGTTCATTTTTTGTGTGGCATTGCTGTGTCAGGTGGTGACTGCTTCCTAGCTGTTTCTCTATTGACATTAAGACTGGAAAGTTTTTGAGGCAGGTACTCCTTATGCATTATAGACATTGATGTATAAATTGACTATCAAGCAAATTAAATGTGAGGTATTTTATAGCCAGCAGATCCACTTGTATGTTTTTTGTACGGCTCTGAGAAATCTTGGTGATGGTTGCTTTGCAGTGGGGTTGTTTTTTCAATGGTAGGATTTATGTGCCGTCTCCTGCTGTAATTGCACTTCAGTGATGGCTTTGCTGGCGTAGGGGTGCATGCTTGTCTTGCATTAGGAAAGTGTGTCTCCTGTGTGAAAGAAAGCAAAGGGGATGTGCAGGTCTGTCAAGTGGGAATAGAATAAAATTAAACAGGCCTGAAATATTTCCTGAAGAAAATAATTTTTGATGCAAGGGAAAAATAGTTTATTCCCATGTGTCTTGGAGGGTGAAGTACGTAGTAGTTGTAGACCAAGAGTGTGCATCGGACCGGCCACGTGCCAGGAAATGCAGGTGACATGGCTCTGGAGCCTCCTCTACCCAAGTGTGGTTTGCCTCCACGCCCAGGGGTACGCGGCGTGTTGCGGTCCCGCTCAGAGGAGCGGTAAGGGAGGGCTGGGCGAGCTCCCCACGTCCAGCCAAGGTCAGCCAGCTGCCGCTCGCTGCTTCAGGCTCCTGCCTGGGCATCAGGCAGGCCCCCGAGTGTCACTCCACAAAGGCCGGCTCACTCTGCCGCGCAACAGGGGAAAGCGATTCGCCTCGGTCTGTGGGTGATGTGTGCGGCTCAGTACGCTCTGTGGTGACTGAGTGTGTGAGAGGGGGGTGGGTGTTCTTCTGCTGCAAGGTTTTTGTCCTTGTGCCATAACTGACATTCAGCGCTTATTTCCAAAATTTAGAGATGTGACTACACGCAGTGGTTCTGGGACTGATTTTCATACACTTCTGGGGAGAAGGTGTAGCATAATCAATGTTTAGAGAACCTGCATGTTTCATGTTAGTGTTTATATTTCTGATCTGCATATGCACTTTTCAGTTGCCATTCAGTACAGCTTCCCTGTTGCAAGTCTCCTGGTAAAAGCAGTGTCTGTTTCAGAGCATCAGTTTTGTGTGTGTCTGCACAGAGCTAATTTCCGCATGAGATCCACATTGGGACTAATTTAAATATTTTGCATCTTTTTCTCTCTCTAACTTGCTTTTATGTGTGCACTAGGGCTAGACATGAAGCCCAATGAGAGATGCTGCTCATTTGATGGCGATGCAGATAGAATTGTTTACTACTATAAGGACGCAACTGGCCATTTTCACCTAATCGATGGAGATAAAATAGCAACTTTAATTAGTATCTTCCTTAAAGATCTTCTTGCCAAGGTAACTTTAACATATGAAATGAATGCTGACACTTTAATTTGTAAAGTGTAAAATATTCTAAAGAAGCTGTGTTAGGTTGTACGTACGTGGTCTCTCTGCATCTACCTAAAGTGAAGCCAGTTTAAAAAGAGATCAGTTCTGTACCTCACTGGTATGGCCAAAATGTTATTTTTACAAGGGTGTGACTTCCACACTTGAAATAAAAATCTGAGCACTGATATTTTAACCTGGAACATTTTCTTAGTGGGAGAGAACTTTTCCTGTTCCAGTGTACAAAGTATTGGTATTCCATTCTCTTTGTTTTGGTATCTTTCGTTAATTTTTCATTAATTTTGGGTTCAGTCCTTCCCTCAGCATTTCTGTGAAGCTTCATGAAGGTCGGTCATTCCATCTGCATGAGAACTTGGTTGTGGCAGTCAAGGTGTTTGCATGTCGTCGTTCCAAAACCACTATCATCTGCCATATGGCATCCTCTCCCCACAGGGGATATAGAGAAAAAGCTTTTCTTTTCTAAGAAGTCCTCTTAGACTTGGTGTCTGTGACACTAAACCTAGACGAGTTATCCTGGTTTTGTTTTCTTAGAAACCAGCTCATTTCTTACACTAGCAGAGATGCTGGCCAGTGAGGAGAACTTGTGCTTGCCACCAGCCTTTGCTTGCTTTGCACTGGAAGCTTTGACTTTACCGCTTGTGTATATGGCCTGATGCAACGGCATGTGTCTGGCTAGTGAACTGAGCTTGCTGAATCTGAAAAAGGGGTTGGAAGGCCTACGCAGGTCACTGAACGGAGAGCTGCTTCAAGCCAGCCACAAAAACTGTGATATACAAAGACTTGGAACAGAATTTGTGTTGTTTTAAATATAAAAAAGAAGTTCTCTGTGAGCTGGTTCCTTCCTCCGATGCCTGGGAGTTTTAAGTGTCTGTAGGAGAACGTATGTTTAATAATTGTGATGATCCTTCTGTTGATCCTACTCCTCTGGCTATGTGCCTGTCGGACAGTAAAGCACTTTGCTTCTTGGATTGCTCAGGTGGGACAGACTTTAAAGATGGCAGTGGTACAAACAGCATATGCCAATGGGAGTTCAACACGCTACCTTGAGGAAACACTGAAGGTATTCTCCAGTTTTTTTCCTGGTAGTTTTCTGCAAATGTTATTTACTGCAAATCTGTTTACTTCTAAAATAAATGCTACTGTAACATGATCGCTAGGAAAACTTAAACTAGGCTAAAATCAATGACTCTTTCAAACTTGCAGTAGCCACTAAATTCTTGGGGGTAAAGGAGACGCAAGAGAGCAAAGCTGAAAAAGTTCTAGTCAGCTTTTACTAGTTTAAAGAAAAAGTTTGGCAAAAGTTAAACAAAATCCTTTGTTGCTTCTGGAACAAGTTGAGCAATTTATGGCTTTGCAACTAGGTGAGTCGGTAAAGGCTCCTTGATATTTTGACACTGGTTGTTTCTGTTTCTGTAACAGGCTAAATGTTGTTCACTATGGAAATGGGGCTTGCGATTGGTTGGCAAAAATTGAGCTAAGGTATTATTTCAGTTTGGATAGAAATCTGGTATGTTCCCTGAAACCATAAAATGAATTGGGATTTTCTTGGTTTGGGTGTTTTGTTTTGGTTTCATTTTTTTTTAAATCAGCCTTTATTTCCACGGGGAGAAATGAAATCTTCTTTTTAATCCGACCTCCAGAAATAGTGGGTAATTTTAGCTCTGGGGAGTCAGCAGCTGTGAAACACAGGTTAGTTTGTAACGGTCTACCCGGGTTGGTGCTCAGTTCCTGGCGCTTCACCTGCAGTTCCCATCTATTGAAGAGAGTCTATAACACTGTTTACATTCTCTGCATATCCTTGGGCTGCAGGTACCTGTGCACTGTGTCAAAACAGGAGTGAAACACTTGCATCACAAGGCCCAGGAGTTTGACGTTGGTGTTTATTTTGAGGCAAACGGACACGGTACAGTAAGTACGAGCATGTAATGCATAAGATCAGCCACTATGTACAAAATTTTAGTTGGATTAGCTGGAGAAGGAGGTCTTTTCACTCTCTGCTTACACTTCTAAACAAGACTTTTCTCGCCTTGTTTGAGAACAGACTCGTTTCCCCCTTCTGCCTTTATCATAGCATTGCCACCACCTCCTCTGTGTTTTATGTGGGGATGGGAATTCACGGTAGCAAACGTTAATGATGCCTATTTGGGCTTAAATGGTAGAAGCTTTTTCCTCATTGCTGCACGTGATGTGGGCTGATCTTGACAAGCTCTCATCTTTTTATTCTAGGTATTATTTAGTAAAGCTGCTGAAACTAAAATAAGGCAACTGGCAAAAGAGGAGAAAGATGACAAAAAAAGAGAAGCAGCGAAGGTGCTTGAAAACATGATTGACCTGATTAATCAGGTAAAAACCGAGAGAAACAAATCACTGTGGTGACAGTCATGGGGCTAACCCCATTTGTGAGTACCTGTCAGGCTCCTGCCAGGGACTGCTGGAGCAGGAAGTAGGGTGCCATGATAGAAGGGGCCAAGAAGAAAAGGGCAAGAACAGTCGTCTTCAGCAAGATGTAATACTTTCTCACGAGTGGACGCAGAATGCTTTTATCTCGAGCAGTCTTCTGGGTTCAGGACCAAAAGAGGGAATGGGATGGCACGGGAACCTAGCGATAGGATGTGACTTGTTCATGATTCAATAGCAAGTAATCTTTCATCCCATGTTTTTCACCGTCGATTGAGGTACGGGAGGATGGGGGTGTTCCAGGGCCCGTGTTCACACAGCCCTGGGACTCCCTGTCCTAGCACAGACATCTTTCATCTGGGGTAGTGCCAAATCATACTTCGCAGGCCAGCTTTAAGCATCCTGAGCCCAGAACAAAGGTGAGGTGCCAGTCCTCCTTAGGAGAGGTGAGGACTAGCACTTGCCCTTGGCAGAGCTGTACAAGTGCGCTGCTGTTCTCCTTACCGCGGGGTCGGCATGGTAAGGAGGAAAAGGTAAAACAACCGACCCCAACTACCCAGACTGAGGCGAGTCAGCCTGGCTGCGTTTTCACTCTCTTCAGGTGGCAGCTTACTGATCAAATCATGCCTTCATTTCTTCACTGTTGACTTCTCCAGTATTTCTTCCCTCCCCACGCCCCTGTTAACAGACAGTTGGTGATGCCATCTCAGACATGTTGGTTATTGAAGCAATCCTGGCTTTGAAAGGTCTGACTGTGCAACAGTGGGACGCCGTCTACACCGACCTGCCGAATCGGCTGCTCAAAGTTCAGGTGAGTTACACGCCACGCTGGCTCAGGTTACAGCAGGCTCTTGGGGTTCTGCTGTGAGCAGCTCTTGCCTGCGTATATTTAGATAAGCTTTATTTTAAGCTGAAACAGCCCACTGAAGGGCAGAAGTAGCCCAAACAAGCCATGAAACGACCCAGAGGAGGTACCAGAATTCCACTTGGACTAATATAAAAATATGACTTACACAAATGATGAAGTAATAGCCAACTATGTTAAATGGAAAAACCTGACCAAAACTGATCAAATTTTAACTCAGAAATTCTTTCTTTGCTTTCAAATTAGAAAAATACTGGATTTTTTTCTTGCTGTGCCACTTTTTGTATAACTTGAATATGCAACTTCTTTATCTTCTCCAATATTCAGACAAAGAGCTTGAGCAGACCAGGCTCCCATGTGGTAGCACTCTAGTAGGCACAGCAAGGGAGCTCTGGGCTGTGAATTAGCCAGAGGAGAGAGTTTAAGTTTTCTGATCCACTGGGGGAAGCTGCGGCTCCAGTTCAGAGGCTGACCAAGGAGGCATATGGTCGGGATGACCCTTTTTCCGAACCAATTGGTTAATCCATGCTGAGCAGTAGCAGGGATCCCAAAGTGTTTGAGTTAAGCAGGGAACTCCCAGATTGAGCTCTTCTTCAGGCAGCGCAACGCATCAAAACCTGAAGTTCTGTCTCACCCGTGACCTTTTTCATTCTGCTCTCATCATACAGCTCCGGCACGCAAATAAATAGTCTGTTTCTGATGCTGCAGGTTGCGGACAGGCGAGTTATTGACACAACGGATGCAGAAAGGCGTGCAGTTACACCTCCGGGACTACAAGAGAAAATTGATGCGCTTGTAAAGAAGTACAAATTGTCACGAGCGTTTGTCCGTCCATCGGGAACAGAAGATGTAGTTAGGATATACGCTGAAGCAGACACACAGGTGAGAGCTTAAACAACTTGTACGTAAGGTGGATTTGTTTATGTTAAACAATCTTCTGCTTAGCGTGGGGTGATGGAAGGATACTCGTCATTTAATCACACTTAACGGGTGCTAAATTTGGAAAAAAACTAGTGATCACAGAAAGTCTCTTTGGATTTCTATTTACTTAGAAAAATGATGTTTAATGTTCTCCACATTTATCTTCTACTTTTAAAGTTAAATGTTTATAAAGGCAGATTTGACACTAGATGATTTTGAAAAGAAAATCAGCTTTCTGACAACTCAGGGTTAAGAATAAAGTTACCAAAGCAGCCACTAACTGCATGATTTCATAAGAGGCAAAATAAAAAAAAATAAACTTTGGCTGCTGTTAAGAATTATTCCACATGTGAACTTAAAGTTGACAGGAAAAGCAGTGGTCCTGCTCTTCCCCCTTCGCCTGCTCCTGCCCGCTTCTTCCTGCCAGCGTGACCACGGTGGCAGAAGATACCTCAGGATGACAGAGCAATATAGGGAACACAGCACGTTTGCAGGAAAATGCTTGCCTTAATATCACATATTTGCTCTAACCTTCTCATGCCGACACCAGCGTAACGAACTTTTAAAACATTCCACAGGAGAACGCGGATGCCCTCGCCCATGAAGTAAGCCTGGCTGTTTACCACCTCGCTGGTGGAAAGGGAGCACCACCCCAGCCTATATAACGAGTGATACAACTGCAGTTCAAGTTCATAACTTGACTTATTTTTTAGTATTACTTTCTTCACTGTCTCCAACCCTTCCTGAGAGTAGCAAGGATTAATCAGAACTGAGCGGAATATTATTCTGCTTATTCTTTACCTCTGTTAGCAACTTACCTCTTAATGAGATGCTCTTGCTGCTGAATGTTTTCCCCACCCCCCTGAGTTTGTCTAACTTCTGAAGCTGAAGTGACTTACTTAGAGGTGACTCACTTCTTGACAGTCAGTGGCCTCGTCATGCCCAGAAGGAATTCTGCTCCCCACCCAGCTTATTTCATAGGGCATCGTCACGTTGTGCCTGACGTCCAACTCCCACACCCTCAGCGCACTTGCGGTAGCTGCGTTTTTGACTCGAGCTCTGTTGTGACTGTGCTCGCAGTAGCTGCAGCACAGCACACTGCTGCAGAAACATCATCTCCCACCTTCCCATGGCAACTGAATCATCTGTGGGCAAACACTATAAGGCAGAGGCTGGCACTGGTCTTGAGATTCAGTTCACCTCAGTTCAAGGAGGAAACAATATAATGAAAGAGCATTTGCAAGTAATGACATATAATTGCAGTATGATCTTCATTAGATACTTTTATGAAATTAAAGTGTTGCTTAGAAAGCAATTTGCAGTAATAGTGTTTATAATCGCTTTTAAGAGGGAAGGGACAGAGACAAGTTTGTCTTCTGCAGCCCATACTACTCCCCAGCAGTGTGAAGGGGCAGGGGCCAACAGGATGTAGTGTTTTAAATACATAAGTATCCCTCCCTCCACATATTTCGGTTCAGGGTAGCTACCTCTGACAAACGTATTTTTCATTGTAGTCCTGTATTAATTCCTGGCATGATGGCACTTTCTGGATTGCTAAATAAGCACAAGTTCCAAAAAAAAAAAAAAATCAAGACAAAAATAAACTGGAAACAAATTGAAAAAAATGTGCACCTTGTATTTTTTGGGATTTTTTAAAGACAGAACTCAAGACAACAAAACATGTACTGTCAATAGTAGGCACCATAATCGATATGAGCCACCAATATTTAAACTTGATTCAGGCCACATCCAGAACTTTTCTCTTATTTACAAATATTTAACTTAAATACAACATTAAGTATTTCATTACATACAAAGTAAGAAAAGAATACTATACAACTGGGAAAGATACAGTATTTCATTTAAATAGTTACACTACATATAAGCTGAGTAGTACCAGTTTGGTTCATGTTTTTATGACGCCTTCAAGAAAATCCTTCTCAACCATTTCTTCTATCTTTTGTCTTGCTTTGCTGGAGAAGGTCTTGAGGTTCTCCATTTTTATGTCCTTACTCGGAAAACAGTTGGGGTAAAGGACAGGGCTCCCTGAGTGTCCAACGCATCTGCTTGTGACTTTGCTGTTAAAAACTTGGCTGAGTACATTGAAGAAAGGCAAAAGCTGCTCAATGCTGCGAACAGTGTAGATGGTTAAAAGCAAGTGACCTGGTTCCCAACTTAGTGTTTTCCCTGAGCTGTCCTCCTCTGGGTTTTTCTGTAAATAGAGATAAATGGGAAATAATACAAAACAGAAAAAGCACAGATAAAAATAAAACTAACGCCCAATAAAGTATTTTTCCATATTCCAGAAATACTTGTCCTGTCACCGAAATACACATATGCCGGAGTGCAGCTTTCGAAGCCGACCTCCTGCTCCTCCCCTCATCACGCTTTGCAGCGACGGTGGCTGGGAGCGTAAGGGCTGGCAGCCGGTCGGCTGACACTAACGGGAAAGCTGCGGTGGCCGTTCGAGTCCACCGCACCTCAGCCCAGGGCTGCCCAAAGCAAGGCAGACGCCCTGCCCTGGCACCCGCCCTGCTGCCCAGCAGAGCTGCTCCTGGTGCAGCATCCCGCTGGCTAACATAAACAGCCCAAGCTGGTGACAGCCAGTCATGCGGCTGCTTGGGCAAGTTGTGTGCTACTTCAGCTGCTTTCCAAAGCAGGCTGGTCTCTGATAGCACTCGCGCTTCACCCTACTGCCAGCATTAGTGACAATAAACCCCAGAGGAAGTTGAAATAGAAATGAAGCATTCTCACTTTGAAGCTAGAGTTCAGAGTTTTCATGAAGAGCAAAAGCAGTGCTGTTTTTAGTATCAGAAATAACACACGTGGAGGCTCTTAGCAAACACTTGAAGTTTCCTCAAAGGAAAACGGTTCAGTTACTCATTGCGTGTTCTCAGAAGACCTCGGTTACGCACCTTCCATTTCATGGGGGGACTTTCAAGGGAGACAATTTCAGGAACCCCACCAGCGAAGGCAGCAGTCACACACCAGATGCTCGCAGGCAGTGTCAGTACACTGCTGTAACCCTGTTTAGGGCTGCCTTAAGTACCTGCGTACTAAAATACCTGAGCACCAACATCCAGCTGCTTATATGGTACTCCTCACTCATTTCCTTTTTTCCTTTGAGTCAAAAAACATACTTAAATCTAGACAATAAGGTACTATTCACCACTAGAAACACCTTGTTTGGACTGTTACTGACAAACCAGTATGGGAGAGCTTCTACCGCGAAGCAGAGTTCCAGCAATACTGGTTTTTAGTCTGTGAGGAAGGAGAAAAGAAGCACAAAGGCCACATCAAGGAGAGCCAGCTCCTGATCCACCTCTGACCAGCGCCTCCCTCCCGCTGCCCTGGCAATGCCTCTGCCGAGGCAGGGGTCCGAGACCCCTGCAGGCTGCACAGCTCCTGAAGAGCAGGCTTTGTAACGAAAGGAGAATGAAGGGGGAAGAACAGCAGTGGGAGCAGAGCGTAAGGTAAGGATTACTGATTGCACAGCCTTTGAGCAAACAGATTTTCAAGAGATGACACTTGAGCAAACACCGTTTTTGCCCTTTAAATGAAGCAACTGTCTTGCAATTCAGGAGCCTACATGACATCCATTTCACAAAACCCCATTAGATTAAAATTAAATATGAACGTATTTAGTATTTTAATCTGGTGGTTTGGCTCCCTGTCACAGGGGATTACTATTCTAGCTCTACAAGTCTCAAGAAAAGAAAGGCTTGTAATGAACTAGGACAAAGGGAAGACTGAATTCTAACACAGAAAGAGTTGTCGATGCCTTCTACTTTTAAGGAAGTTACTAGTTTTTAAAGTTTCTCCTTTAAAAACTTCACATTGGATTTGCAGAACAGAGGCTTTTCAGTACTGGTTCTCTACTGTGCTTACCATTACCCAGCGGTGTGCACGGACTACCTCCAGCACGCAGCAAGTGTCGGTGTTACACAGCAGCCAACCAAACGGGGTGCATGTGCAAGTACTAATTCTCTCTCTGAGCGATGAAATACAATCCGTCCAAAGCCATTTCCTCACGGAAGTATCTGCTAAGCAACCACCACTAATTCCTCAGATACTTAAAACAACAGTTAATTTGACAGAGACCGATTAGGGATTGTGTGTTTGGCAAAAATTATTTTATTATTTAATTTTATAATGATTTGCGATCATAATTCTTCTTACAACTAACATTAACTTTTTGTAATGTATTTCATGTAGGAAACCACCTTAAAAATAATTTTTTAAGTTATCTATAAAAATAAGGGCCCTCACAATTCTTTCACTTCAAAAATCTCTCAACTTTGTCCTCTAACAAGACTGACCTCTCTCAGTTCTTACTGAAAGCTAAATACTGCCCAGGGCCTTGAGGTGATGGTATTATTATGGCGAGCTTGTTTCACAACTCAAGCATCAAAGGCCACCCTCACCTGATGCTTGGCCATCTCCATTCCCTCCAAAACCACCGTCTTAAAGTCCTCCTGTTTGTCCTGTGGAAGGAAAGAGGAGAACTTTGAGACTGCATTTCATATACCAAAATAATACTTTGCCGTGAAGGCCATACGGTTGCCTGGTTGCGTGCTGTGCTTCAGCTAGAAAAATCACCCGCCCCAAAGAGTCCATGGTCCAGAAACGGCAGACTCTGGAGCTAGCATGGCCAAGACACTATTAGACAATACCAGCACTGCCAGTTTGTTCCTCTGTTTATTGCCAGTAGTGCCAAAGGAGGTTTTCAAGCACATTTCCTTCAGACAACAGAGCCTGAACAACACCATACTACATGAATCCGAGCATTAACCAGAGTGCCCGGAAGGAAAATTAAGATCCACTGGAACATTTTGCTCAGAAACAGTTATTTTCTGGGAAAAACCCGCAGTTATATGCAACGGTATTCTCCTCTGCACAAAGAAGAAATGGCCTGGAAGTCAATATTTGTTACCTCGTGTTTAGCTCATCGTCATACCCCTAGCTGTGGTTCACAGTGTGCAACTGCTGCCGTGACTAGGGGGTTCCAGAAATTCCAGAAGTTTTTATATTCTTGAAGCATACTGTGGAAGTCCTGACTTCAGGCATCTATCTCAACATACAGTACTTACCAGCACGTGTATTTTATACATCATATGTAACTTACAGTTCATGCAGAGAGATTATTTGGAGTGTGACAACTTTCTAACAGGTATAGCACACTGCAATGAACATCAGGGTTAGAGGCTACGCCTGATTAGCAGTCAGTTAAAACTGATTATTCCTTTAGATGTGCGAGAAGAGAAATTTAGTCTCATCTTCATGGTTCAAAAACAATAAAGTGAAGAATGCAGCTGTGCTTCAGATACTTGTTTTATCCCCTACAGTTGTGAGCCTTGCTTGAATAGTTCAATGTATGTTATGTATGTCAGCAGTAGTTTCTTTACTCAGTGAAAACATTCATTAGAGATTGTAAATGCAGTAGCTACAACAAGCTGCCAGCGTTACAGCCCTGACAATGCCATCTATTTGGAGGGAAACCCAAGAATGAAACTTCAAAGTTTTCTCCCATATGGCTTTGAGCTTCCTCCCTGTTTCCCTGGCCCACCCACCAACCTTTCCCAGTGCAGTGCCTGCCCAGGGGGGACTCTGTCCTCACAGCAGGAGCAGCCAAGCATCTGGCAGCAATGTTCTTACTTTGCGGCAGCAGAAGGGAACTCCCCGGGACAGGGCTTGGGCAGCTTCCATCAGCGGATCGGGCCTCCACCCCACCCAAACCAGGGTTTTGATATACCTCATGCACCAACATAATGACAACCCTAATTCTGCTCCCACTCTACAAACTGTGCAGCCAAGATTTCCCCAGAGCTGTTTCTACTGCTCTCTGCCTTCTTCCATTCATCGTAACTGCTTCAGGGAAGAAACCCAGCCCTCCCTGGCTCTGCACAGTCTCAAAACTCTTGGTTCTGTCATTTTTAGGAATGCAACAGTTTTCTAAATATTTAAATGTGATTATTAGTAACAAAAATGCTTCCCTGCTTCAAAAGGCAGTTAGTTATACTAGTATCTACATATATGACTGGCTATCTGAAAGTGATTTTATGTTAAAATATATTAGACCCTGAAGCATATTTTACTTCTTACTCAAATAATACAAATAATACTTTTAATTGGAAACTCGAAAGTCACTGACCATAGTCTTTTTTTGACCATGGCAGGTTTGAGGTTTTTGTTGTTTGTTTGGTGTGGTTTGGTTTTTTGTTTTGTTTTGGTTTTTTTTGTTTTATATACCTACATGTGGTTTTTGCCTGATGCTGACTTGAGATTACTGTAGTGGGAAATCTCCCACACCAGATAAACTTTCCATTTTTCATTGTTAAAAAAATAATAAAAAAAAAAACCCTAAACCAAAACAGTGCCATAAGTTACTGTACATGACAAAATAAACTTCCCATTTTTCATTGTTAAAAAAATAAAAATAAAAAAACCCCTAAACCGAAACAGTGCCATAAGTTACTGTACATGACAGTTTTCAGTGAAAAGCAGAACTGGAAGAAAGCGACATACCTTTGCTTTTTTCCGCAGCAGTTTTGCTAGACGCACCACATACGGTTTGAATTCCCTCTGATG